CACCACCGCCACGCAGCGGTAGCCCGCACCGTGACCCGCCATCACACTACCAGACGTAAACACGCAAAGCAAAGTGTTGCCAACACCCTTCATATATAATAGGGAGCGGCTCTATCCCAACAAAAATCACAAGAACAACTAATTGGGGTAACCCCACCCACCCAAACCCAGCAGTTCACACCACCTGACCACCAACTCATAACTACAGGCCTAACAAAGGAATACACACTGTCCGCAAATAGACAGGCTGCGAAGGGGGAACAACTCACTGGGTGTTATAAACCACTACATACTACCCTCATGTTACGTGTTCAACACCCAGTTCGCCTAGAGACCTGCCAGTCTCTTATTGAGCTGTTACCCAGGAGATCTACGCTTCTCGATTGACCTATTGCCATAATGCTCTCTCAAAAACTACTGGTTTTTCAGAAAAGAAAACCTAGGGGGCTTGGCATCCGGGCCAATCCACTGAGCCGCAGTGGTCTAGCTGACTAAGGTTCCTCTTTACAGTCGCTCTGCAATAGAGGGAGGAGGCGGTAATTGAGTTAGCCTACACAGTTAGTAGGGTTTTCCCCATAGAGCACATAGTATGCATGTTCCATAGCCTATAGTTCCACTATATTTGTACTGTGTAAGCCTTGCTTCCTGATTTTTAGTTATATGCTTTGCCGATACACTTGTCAGCTAAGGTACATCAATGTATAGAATTACCTGATATTCCTCGCAAAGAATCCTGTTAACTTGAACTCAACGATGAGACAGTCAGCTCGAGAGTTACTATGTCTTATATGAAACTGTGTAAGATACGATTGCATTAACTAAACCTTTCCTTTCTGTAATGAATCAAATAACGTCTAAATCACATAAAGATTTATAACAAATCTCACATTCCCTATGCAAGAGCGACCGACAGGCCCGCACACGAGAAGACATAGGAGACTTGATCCCAGCAACCTCGACATAGATACAAGACCACCTCACAGCGGCCACCCAGGCCACGACTTGACCCTACACTACCCGACCGACAAACTACACAAAGCGAAGTATCCTCCAGTGCTACGCTGACATGATCTCGACCTGACAACACTGACAAGTATACTAACACGAGACGGACCACTGTGCCCACACCTAACTGTCCACACCACTTGAACACCAACATATGACTGCAGGCCCCACTAGGGGACCACACAGCGACTGCAAACAGACAGACCTGATCAGTTAAGTGACCTACCCATTCTTCTATATCAAAATAGAATGTTTTCATGTTCTCATGTTATTGGCAAGCCAACCAGGCTGTTCAGAGACATGTGTGTCTCATACTGTTAATTTATTATACTATTCTGTTAGAGATCTGCGCATCTCGAATGTCCAATTATTGTACAATACTATGGAAACCTGCGTCTTTCCGCCTATCTTACTCAATATGGAATAGTTGACAAACTTCAATAAAAAGAGATTTAAAATAAATAAATAAATAAATAAATAAATAAATGAAAGTTAATCCTTAGGGGTTAAAAAAATTAGATCACTGTATAATACTGTGATCTGTATTTTGATCACTGTAGGCAGTGATCAACTGGCAGGGAAGGGGTTAATTTTTATTTGGACTGGGTAAAGGGTGGGTGGATTTTTTAAAACTTTTTTTAAACGTTATTAAGACTTTTTTTTAACTTTTTTTACTTTTTAAAGCTTTTTTTTACTTTTAACGTTCCACCCACCCTAGCTAGCTAAATATATAATTTAAAAACATTGAAATTAATTAATAAAATAAACTGAACCCCTGAGGATTTAAAAAAAAAAAAGAACCCTTAGGGGTTAAAAAAATAATAATCAGATGACCGTAAAATGTAGTCCCTGCCAATTGATCACTGTAGTCAGTGATCATTTGACATGGAAGGGGTTAATTTTTATTAAAGCAGGGAAAAGGGGGGTGAGATTTTTATTTTCATTTTTTTTTTTTACACAGGGTGATGAGGATCATCACTGATCCATCTCCCTGCACTTTACACTGGAAGCGGAAGAGCAGGGAGGCGGATCGTGAGTCCCTGCAGCAAATGTGCTCGCTCTGACAGCCTGTCAGAGTGATCACTGCTGCAGGGACAGCGCAAGGCAAACCGGGTGAGCGTTAACCCCACGATCACCGCAATCGCAATGTTCTGGGTTTAACTTTAGTAAATTACATAAATATTCCGTCAAGGGTCCCTAACGCAAGGACAAGCTTGATGGAACATTTCCGTCTTTGGTCAGGAAGGGATTTAGAGGCAGAGGCTAGAAGTGTAACCCCACTCTAACCATATACAACAGTGTCACACTAGGATGAATGAAGTATGCAATTTTTACTGCTGAAAGTTTTCATTACTCCAATGTGGGAGTAGCTGGGCAAGAGGATTTTTTTTTTTTTTTTTTTACTGAACAACACACTCTCCAAAAAAGTATTTTCTCTCTAAAATTGGTTTAAAAAAACCCTATAAACTTTTAACAAATGTCTGTTAGTAACCTAGCTAGATGCAGCAGCAAGCTAAACTTACTCTCACAATAGAAGCAATGCTTTCTCTCACTCTAACACAGGCACAGCAAGAGTAAAACACACAGAATCACTGATGACCTGTCTCTCTTAGTCGCAGCAATGATAATGTCTGGAAAATCCTGTTTGGAAGTAGAGATTGTTTTACTGCAACTCCTTTCCCCCTCTATTTGTCAGCTGTCACTGGATGTGCTCAAATTCTCAACCATCTTTTTTTCACCTCTTGATTGGAAAAAAGATACAACCTATACAACATGACTAGACAGACTAGTGGTGGATCTAATGTAGAGAGGGCCCTATTTTTAGGCCTATTGCACAAGGGAGCCAAAATGTAGATTCCCATCTGTCAAACTCTTATAATGCTATGCCAGCTGGGATTTTACCCCTTTTTCCATCCATGCAGAGTTTTATTTGTGAGCAGTGTTTGTGCATTTAATTGTAAGCATGTTTTTGTATAGCATTCATGTGTGCATGTAGGGATGTATATGTATGTACTGTTGCCACTGGAATTGTAGTGGTGTACTTGTGTGTTGTGTTTACATTTTGAATGCAGGGGTGTGTTTGTATGTAGTCCACCCGATGGACCCCCTGAGTGTGCAGGTCCCGATGCAGCTGCATTGGTTGCTCCAGCGTTAGTTCTGCCACTGAGACAGACCTCCTATCCATCAAGGCAAACTAAGCTGCTTATCTGCCTTGACCAAAAAAGGCCTCTTCTCCATTCCATACCCATTTTTTTTTTCTGGTGCCAGGAATAGCACTCTGAATAAAGAATGAAAACAAGCATGTTTTGGCTTGCGCAAGGCAGTTCTCCCCATGTTTCTGGCATGCTGCAACATAAAAATCGGAATATCAGCCGATCATCTGATTAGCCCGAATTCAGACTATTCATAGTTCAGCCCACAATGATTCTCCAGCTCTAAAAATATATATTTATACAGTACTTTATGCAACTTGTAAAACTAAAAAAACATGGTACTTATATGGTAGGCAAGAAGAAATAGCATGATGTTCCAATGTGTAATGTATGCTGTTATAATTGCAAAGAAAATCAGTTGGCTGTAAACTATTTCCCAAATGTAGGTTAAGGTTCTCAGGCAATTACTTCAATTTTATGCAATCACTTCTTCAAAGGGTGTGTAACATCCGGGTTTCTCTAAGTTTAGTTCTAAGAACAAATTCCAAGTGTGTATATTTGGAAATTAAAATAAAAAGTGAATCTTTCTTACCTTATGTCTCAGCCTTAAAAAAGGTGGAAAGTGTTTAAAGCCATAGTCTTCTTTCGCTGGTCTCCCTTCCACCAGTAGAAGAAAGACTCCCAATCCCAAAATAACAAAATAACAGTTTGACATCTTCACCTGGCAAAAAACAAAGAATATATGTTATACTACCACCAGTCGTATTCATAATTTAACATGATCATAATGTGTTAGCTTGCCTGTATCTTTGTACTGTATATTTAACCGCCGGCGACCGGGAAAGTAAAGAAAGACCGGAGGGCGTACTATTACGCCCTGCGGCGTTTAGAGCCGCCTAAAATACGGCGTAATAGTACGCCCTCCAGTCTTAAGGGGTTAACACCTTATGGACACAACTTCAAAAGCTTGTCTTACCCTTAAGGACACAAGTCATTTTTGCATCTTTTGCTGTTTGTGTTCAAACGCAATCTGCATCTCTGTAATTTATTGCACCAACACATATTATATACCATTTTTCAGTGGGCAAACTGGGCTTTAATTTGATGTCACATATATATATAGATAAATTCTCATTAATTATAAAAAAAAAATGCCAAATGTAAAAAACAAACAAACATTTTTTCCCCACAGTTTTGGCAATAATAGCGTGTGCTTAATATGTCCAGCTTAGAAAAAGTATTTCAAAATAAATTAATTTATGTGTCTTGATTTATAGAGTACATTATTTGTATAGGATTTCAGCTTATTTTGAAAGTTACAGGTCACAAAATACAAGGACTAAAATAAAATTTTAATGTGAAACAATTTCAGAAGTTGGTATGTTTGTCTTGTAGGTTTAGCAGCCATTACAGAAAGCAAAATTGCCACAAAAAAAGTATATATTTATATAAAGTAGATATCACAGTTATTTTGACACTTTTAACGTAGCCATTTCATTGCCCATCACTGCTAAATATCGGAGTAAAATTTTGTTTTTTCTCTATTTTGACATATACACATATAACAAGGTTTTTGTAATATGTATTTTGTAAAGCTGGTGTGTACTATTCCTGCACAGAACCCCATATTGAGTTCAGCTACATCTGCTGAGTATAACAATACCCCTATTGTATGTCTTTGGCACTATTCTGTGAATCTACAATGCCATATAAGAGACAAGGCTATTTCTGTTTCTATAGTTAGAATTTTCATAGATGGATTTGAAGGGCCTATGTCTCATGTTGGGGTATTATAGCAGTTTGACTGTTCAAAAAACCCAACAAAGGGCTTTCATTTGATAAAGCAGACATCCAAGGGTATCTTATATGGCGTATATTGTGCCTTAACTTGTCACCATTTTTCCCCCCATTTATGCCAATGTTTGTGGTGAGGGAAAAAAACTTTTTTACATACATGTTGCATTTTTGCTGTGTATTTCTTACGCTTCATATGTGCCACTGTCATAAAGTCCCCTTAATTATGCTCAGTTATATCTTCTGAGTAAAACAATATGCCCGATGTATGACCTAGACACTATGTTGTGAAGTTACAGTGCTGTAAAAGAGACGTGACCAGTTCTGGTTTTTAAGTGTGAATTTTCATGGAGGGTTTTGATGCGTCTGTGTCCCAATTTGGAGTATTTCAGCAGGCTATATATTCCAATTACACCATAAAGGCATACCATTTCTTAAAGAAGACATCCCAGGATATTTCAAAAGGCATTTTTTGAACCTTAGTGTGCGATAATTTTTCCACTAGCTTGTACCAAGTGTAGTGGTAATAAGCATTTTTCTGCCTTTTTTACATACAAAGTGAGTTTGCACAGTATATTTTGCAAATCTTATGTGTGCTACGGCTGTATAATATTTCATATGTTGCTCAGCTATGTCGTCTGAGTACAACAATAGTTAATAGTGGTGAAGGGGCACTTTTGAGACGCAGCCATTCAGTTTTTTTCTAACTTTGAAGTTTTACGCTGTGTCCATGTTCCATTTTGGAGTAGATTTGCTGGTTTGTTATTCAAACTACTCCACAAATGCATACCATTTTTTAAAGTATACACCCTGTGGTATTTCAAAAGGTATATTTTGAAACTTAGCGTGGGATCATTTTTTCGCTAGTTTGTTCCAGGTGAGTTTGTTCCAGGTCTAGTGGTAATGAGCATTTTTAAATTAATTTTTTTACTCTTTAAAAAAAAAAAAATATTTTTAAAACTTGTTTTTAAACGTTTTTTACTTATTAAATTTTTTTAAATTTTTAAAACTTTCTTAAAACTTTTTTACACTTTTAAAATTTTTATAAACTTTTTTTTTACCGTTAACCCATAACCAGTAGTAAGCAGCACTAATGGTAAATTCCCCAATTTCCCATAACTCCCACCCACCCCAGCTAGCAAAATATATAATTTTTCAATATTTAAATTAATTAATGAAATAAACTGAACGCTTGAGGGTTAAAAAAATTAATAAAAGTTAAACCTCAGGGGATAAAAAAAAAATTCTGATCACAGTATAATACTGTGATCTGTATTATGATCACTGTAGGCAGTGATCAACTGACAGGGAAGGGGTTAATGTTTATTAGGACTGGGAAAAAGGGGTGGAATTTTTTTACTTTTTTAAAATGTTATTAAAACATTTTTTTAAATGTTAACTTTCTAAAGCTTATGTAAACCCCTAGCTAGTCTAACACCAAATTTCCCAATTCCCCACTAACTTCCACCCACCCCAGCTAGCTAAATATATAATTTTAAAATATTTAAATTAATTAATTTATAAATGATCTTGCAATAGGCATTGAAAGCCATGTATCAGTGTTTGCAGATGACAGGGGACTTGGCACTAAAATGGCAGATTAAATTTAACGGAGAGAAATGCAAAGTTATGCACTTCGGGGTTAAGAATGCACAAGCAACTTACACACTAAATGGTAGTGAATTAAGGATAACCACACACAAGAAGGATTTGGGAATTGTTATAGACAACAAATTAGGCAGCAATATGCAATGTCAATCTGCAGTTGCTAAGGCCAGTAAGGTTTTGTCATGTATAAATAGGGGCATAAATTCTCGGGATGAAAATATAATGTTGCCTCTTTATAAATCGCTGGTAAGACCACACCTTGAATATACTGTGCAATTTTGGGCGCCTGTTCTAAAGAAAGATATCATGGCACTAGAAAAAGTCCAGAGACGAGCTACAAAATTAATAAAAGGAATAGAGCATTTTAGTTTTGAAGAAAGGTTAAAAAAAATTAAATCTGTTTAGTTTTGAAAAACGGCGCCTGAGAGGGGATATGATAACTTTATACAAATATATTAGGGGCCAGAACAAACCTTTATCTGGAAATCTATTCATAAACAGGGCTATACATAGGACACGAGGTCACACATTAAGGCTGGAAGAAAGGAGATTTCATCAAAGGCAAAGAAAAGGTTTTTTAACAGTAAGAGCAATAAGGATATGGAATTCTCTGCCTGAAGAGGTGGTTTTGTCAGAGTCATTACATATGTTTAAACTGCAATTGGATAAATACTTACAAAAACATAACATACAGGGATATAATTTCTAATTAGTGGGGCAATAGCTGCTTGATCCAAGGAGACATCTGACTGCTATTTTGGGGTCAAGAAGGAATTTTTCCCTAGTTTGTGGCAAAATTGGAAGCGCTTCAGACTAGGTTTTTTGCCTTCTTTTGGATCAACAGCAAAAACATATGTGAGGAAGGCTGAACTTGATGGACGCACGTCTCTTTTCAGCTATGTAACTATGTAACTATATAATTAATAAATAAATTTAACCCCTGAGGATTTAAAAAAAAAAAACTTAACCCTCAGGGGTTAAAAAAATAAAATAAAATAAAATGACAGTAAAATGTAGTCCCTGCCAATTGATCACTGAGGTCAGTGATCAATTGACATGGAAGGGGTTAATTTTATTAAAGCAGGGGAAATGGGGGGAGGGGGTCCATTTCCCACTTTATTTTTATTTTTTTGCAGGGAGAGGACCACTGCTGATCCGTCTCCCTGCACTTCACACTGACCATGGAAGCACAGGGAGGCAGATCAGAAGTCCCTGCAGCACATGTGCATCGCTGGGTTAAGGCTACTCCTGTTTGCCTCGGTATTCGAGGCAGACCGGGAGCACCCGATTGCACTGTCCCTGCAGCTGTGATCGCTACCGAGGCAGACCTGAGGAGTGTTAACCGTGTAAATGTTAAATTGAGGTCTTTGTTGGTAAATAACTGCCACACGCTGTTGCTGTTAACAACAGCAAGTAGTTAGTAGCGGGTACTGATTAAAAACTTTTTTTTGTTGCAATTATTTTACCAGGAAAGACTGGGAACAAAGTTGCCTGTATTTTGCGACAATATTCCTAAACAAGAAGCACATCCACATTTTTATAATGTGTGTAAAATCTAAAACACTATCTAATTCAGATTTTTAGAACTGAAAAAAAAGTCATATTCAAAAGCAGCTGTAGAAAGGACAAAGGGAAAGTCATAGAAGATATGTAAACATTGACAGTATTGCAGTCTTGTCAGCTCTTGAGAAAGTCCGACAGGACGAAACACGTCAAGAAGTACCCTGACAAGACTGCAATATTGAAGCCTTTTCCAAAGGATTGTTACCAGACTACATCCAGAAACTATTTCCTTTATAGACTGGTCGAAACTACTGGTATCCTGAGGTACAATTGGCAGCTGTACACTTCATGGGGACTAAGCCCTTTGATGGCTAAACTGCTTATTTGCACATTAAGGAGTGTTTCTTATTGTGACACTTATTTTGTGAGTGTATTTTAAATTGTTTTTCTTTTAACCTTGTTGTCATTAAATGCTACACTATAAGTTATCTAATTTTTTCTCTTTTCATATTATCCCCTATCATTTGAGTGGTAACTATAATCACACATTAGTGAAAGTGGCGCCCTACACTGTGTATGTTTTTTAACTATACAGACCTTGTTTTTATCTAATATCATCTGTAAGGATTTTAGCAGAGGGTAGAGCATCATTATTAGGTAATCAGCTATAATGTCAACTGCCGAGCTGCCACATGGCAGAACCTCAGGGGAAAGAAAGGAGATTGGACTGTTTTCATAATGTACAAAAAGTCTGCCCACTTATGTAGGCTGCACCTCCTGTACTTAGTGGTATAAAACACTTGATTGGGCTATTAATTTTAATTGATAAACATAATTTAGAAAGGACAGAAAAAATAGATAAGGAGGCAGGGTATGGCTTTATATTAAATCTGTGACAAAAAACAGATGATTGATAGTTAGTAGGACAACCACTAAATGTATATTTTATTCACAGAATAAGTAAAGTGACCAATAGAGGGGGAAAAATAAGGAACACTAAGTATACTTCCAAGCAGGATTCTTCCAGACACATTGACTTCATCTACTGAGGAAGACAGACCAGGAATGGGAGACAACCTGGTTCACTGATTCTAGTGTGAACTGCTGTTTATAATGATCAGCTACTGTCGGAGGCACTTGAAACAACTTTAAGGATAGGATACTGGCAGGCATTTTGTCATTGATCCTTCCTCCTGATTATTTTATAATTTGACGCTCTGATTGCATAGAATTAAACGTTTGATTCCTTTGCGTGCTTGGTTTCAGCATGTTGCTGACAGAGTGAATTAATTATTGGGAGAGGCTGGGGATGGCTCTGCTGTCATAGTTCTTATTGGTACCACTGACAAAGACCAAAGAAGATGGTTGACTTAAAGCACGAGTTCAGGGAATTAGGTAGCAAATTTTAGAAGAGCACTTTCAAAGTGGTATTTTCTGAGATATTACCTGTGCTGGGTGTTACAGTGGAAAGAGGGTGGGAGATTAGAACAGTCAATGCATGGCTGAAGTTTTGGTGTAGAAAGGATGGTTTGTGTTTTTCAAAAGCACGAGGCAGATTTTGTGCTTGGGTATAGCCATTTTGCCATGACAGATCACACTTGAGTGAAAGAGGGTTTTTTTTGTGCTGGAGGACAGGGTAGCTAGAAGGTAGGAGGAAGCTTTAAACTAAGTAGAGGAGGGTAGTTTAAGAAGGATAAATGTGGTAGGTAGTAAAGAAATAAGAGGGAATTAAGCTGAAGTCCATGAGGGTGCAGATGGGGGGGGAGGGTGTTAAAATTAGCAGACAGAGCAAGAAGGTATTCATTTTATGTAGTTCACATACAGTGATAGAAACAAATGGTAACGTAAAATGTCTGCTTGCTAATGCATGAAGGAAAATGGGTGAGCTTAAGATATTGACGTTCAAGGAGTAGTATGACAACTGGGATTACTAAGATTTAGTGGGATGAAATACTTGATTGGGCTATTCATTTTAATTGATGTACATAATTTAGAAAGGATAGAAAAAATAGATAATGGGGCAGGGAATGGCTTTATATTAAATCTAATTTGAAGCTAAGTGTTAAAGAAAGTGTACTGTATCTGATGATACAGGTGATTATGTCTTATGGTTTGGAGTATGCATAGGAGTAAACAGGATATATCCATTACTC